GGAACCAAATGCAGGAACTCAAGCAGAGCAAGTTAACTTAAAATAACTTTTAACAGGCCAATGTTTGGTATCTTGATCATGGTTAAAAATGGTAAAATAGACTGATAGTCAGCAGCATGGTTAAAATGGGTAGAATTGAAGATAGAATCTTGGAAACAGGAAGTCGGGAGGTATATGTAAACTTTTGCGAACGAGGGAATGAGGAACAGGTGGATTGTCAAGCTGTCACCATTATGTCCAAATTAATTAACATCACGTTTCCTACTTTCACATATTTGCTTTCAATTAACAGTCCTTTGGGCTGTGGCCAACACTAAACATGACCCATCATTTGTTTGTGTAGATCTTGATATGAAGGTGTTCATAACATTTTATTTTGTCTCTGTCATCCAAATATCGGCCTTAATGTCAGGCATTATCTCATTTAATTTCTCATGTCACCTCAGGTCTCCTTGGAACGACTCTGGAAACAGCCTTACTCGATAAATGATGTATGTTGGAAATGACATGGAGGTAAAGTTTTGCACAAACAGACGTTATGTCAACTTTCTTTAACCACAATTTAAAGGAGTCTTTGTGGGGTTTTATGGTTGATTAACTTAGTTCTTAGTTGCAGCCACTTTTTTCAAAACCCACATCTCACTTTTATCAAGTCTTAAACTGCTTCTGCTACTCGTCTGCTTCTTTTTTTTTTTTATCTCCATCTCCTCCTCGGTGTAGGGATACCAAGAAAAATCAATGAAGAATAATGACTTCACCTGGAATCACCTTAGCAGTGCACTTCATAAAATGTCTGTGCAGAAATTCAAACATTTAGTTTGGGATTCTTTTACTCGTACACTCTGAGTTAAAATAGAAATCTGGGGAATTTTTTTTTACAGATTCCCGGTGACCAGAAGATTTATCGTAATAACCCAACCCAGTCTCACGGCATTTCGTGTTATAGTCACAAAATTAATTTAATCTATTGATTCGTGTTCACCAACACGATTTTCACATTTTTTTCGTGTCACACAGAACGATTTTAAATGCAATGTATTTCTATTGGTAGTATGTTTCGTGCCTGCAACACGTCTTTTTGTCCGGTCGGGTCTTGGAATACCAGAAGCTGTGTGGTTCATAAAAACATGTTCTTACTCAATATCTTACCCTAAGCCTAACCCTATCCCTTTTATTTTAAATTGTATAATGTCTGAGTTTTTTTGCCGTCAGTGATGAAAAGAAATGGCTCAGAGCCTCAGAATACTGAAATCTGTATTTTATGTCATCTTTTTTTCCTTCTAATTTGTTATTATTTGGTGCAGGCACGAAACATACTACCAATATAAATACATTGCTTCTAAAATCGTTCTGTGTCAGAATACTGAAATCTGTATTTTTTTTTATGTGTTTTTCCTTCTAATTTGTTATTATTTACATTGCTTTTAAAATCGTTCTGTGTGACACGAAAAAAATGGCGAAATCGTGTTGGTGAACACGAATCAATAGATTAATTTCGTGACTATAACACGAAATGCCGTGAGACTGTGTTGAATAACCACTGTTATTTTGTGAATCTTCCTCTAGCCAATACAAATGACTTTTCCATCAGCCTCAGCTCTAAGTGCTAATCAACCAACCTAGGCATTACAAAAACAGTCAATTCAGATGGTTAACATGTTATTCAATGCTAACATTTGCACTTAGAATTATAGCACGCTAACATTTGCATTTAGCATTATACCACGCTAACATTTGCACTAAGCATTATAGCTCGCTAACATTTGCATTTAGCATTATAGCACGCTACCATTTGCACTTAGCATTATAGCACGCTAACATTTGCATTTAGCATTATACCATGCTAACATTTGCACTAAGCATTATAGCTCGCTAACATTTGCACTTAGCATTATGTGACCATGTATAGCCTCGCAGAACTGAATGACTATTAGTCCTGTTAAATCAAATGATGACCTTATTCGAATTAGAAAAACCCTTTCAGTGTCATATAAGGACAGCTGGATGAGTGAAAAGTAAACAGTCCTTGTTGAAACTTTGCTGAATCATTTCTGTTTTCAAATGTTTTCTCACCAGATGCTCATGGTGTCAATGTCACTGACTGGCTCATCTCAGCTGGCACTAATGAAGTGTAGTGTTTCAAGTAATCAATCTCTACCTGACATTAATTGCTTTATTGTGTCCCCTACTCTTATCGCATCTCTTACCGTCTTTAAAGCTGCAAAGTCCTTTAAAAAATGTTAAATTCCTTTCTCCTTTCCATTAGGATGAAACTTTCCTCTCCATATGTTTTTTCTTTTTTTTATGTGAAATTGCTCGACTTCTCTGGCATCATTCATGAGCAAAAGACATCAATGTCAGCTTCATTTTGATAAACCTTTATTTTTTTCTCAAAAACTATTCCTGCCAAAAGGATGGTGCTGACACATAAAACATCCATAACCAATGCGTCATCTTAGGGCATAAAGAATTTCATATTCTGAGTCAAGTCGGATGCAACAAGCCAATTATCAATATTAATGAGAAGTGTTGTCCCAGAAAGAGCTAGCAGTTTTATTTTATTGGGTAGACTGAAGAGCTCTAAATACTGGAGTGATAGTATGAATGAGAGCAATAACCTCAATGGATACTCTTTGAATATGTACAGGTGCTGAGTACCATGGCTATTGAAAACAAAGGCGGGAGTCCTTGCTTGTTCCAGACATTTGAAAGGCAACTTTTTGCTCCTCCGAAGGTTGCTTTGGGTTCATAACCGTTCATTCGTTCTGTGTCAAACACCGCAGAATGATGAGAGAAAAAAAAGCTGGTCTACTTTCCACTTAGCAACAAACCCGAGACACAAATGCACTCTGGGGACTATAAGCCTATTTTGATACAACACAGTTTTGAAATAAAACTGTCTAGGGGAGGAGCCGAAAGCAAGGCAACTCTTTAACATGGATGGCCAACTTTCAAACTAATCTTTTTCACGAGTGAAGAAATAAAAAATCGGTGACCTCAATAAGGTTGTGCAGACGTCCTTGGACAAGACACTTAACCCCCAAAATTGCTCCTGTGGGGATTGCAGTATTGAGTGTATGTAAATCGCTGTGGGTAAAAGCATCTGATAAGTAACAATGTTATATAATGTTTTACATGTGATGAAATCAAACGTTTACTGTTTGCCTGTTAAGCACTTGTTGAGGTGAGCATGTTGACATTAGCAACGCCGTGATACAGTTCAGTTATATAGCTGCTAGCATGGCTGTATGCTATAAGACAACTCTTGAAGTTTTTCTCATCTGAAGTTGCCGGTCAGGTGAAAAACTTGATTATTCGTATCACACTTTGTGCCCCATCCTTGTGGTCTCAGATCAGGGATGTGTGACCCTCACAGGCTCAGACTCCTCCGTAAGGTAATTGGTGTTAAAGGTGGGTTGTAGCTCTTCCAGCAGAAGGTCTATAATAAGTCAAAGTTGGACTTTGCAGATATCACCCAAAACCAAAGTCACTGCTTGGCTCCATATCTATGTTTTACATACTTTGAAACTCATTTTTGTCTCCTATACTAGCCGTGTCTGTGTGGTCGACTGTGTGAGCCATTTTTCACTCCATGCAGCTTGTAAAGCAACCATATGGAAGGAGGCACCCGGCTGCACCCACACTGCTCACCTCTGTGCTCCTAATTCTTCACTGTCTCAAGGTCATATCAGATTTATATATCCTCTGAGTTACCTTTAAAAAAAATTATATAAACAAATCTATTTTTCGCTTTTATAAAAACAGCATTAATCACAGCATGTTGTTAAGGTCACTTCTGTTCTTGATGGATTTGGCCGACTGTTCTATGCCTCATTGGATTTCGACTCCAATTAACAGCCATTTTGAATATCAGCAGGCTTTGGATTTCAAAGACTGATCATGAGATAAACAAAAAGTGTTTTAACAAAAGTTACATTAGTTTTTCTTTCTGTCAAATCCCTAATGCCGAGTAAAACACAATTCTCTTGACAGTAGACCATCAAGGAGTTTACGATCCTGCAAATCCGCAGTGCAACAACTGAAAGTGCATATTTAAAAAGTATCAAAACACAGCACCCCCAAGAGCCGAGCCCTCTCTCAGTGAGATATCACTTCAGTCTGTATCAGGAGGGATCATCTCAGCAAACCTAAAAGCCATTTCCTTTCCTTGCTCTGCTCGCACTATCTGTTTGGTTGACTTTTTTTTAAATTTCCCTTTTGGTAAAGTCAGAGATTCCAAGGCATGGACTGAAAGGCAGCCTGAGCCAATCTGCATAAAACATTGCGGTGCTTCCTCAACGTAGCAGGAGAAAGGTATTATCTATTTCCCCAACCTTTTATGATGAACAGTTTTTACTGAAAAGTATTGAGATTTTCAATGGCTTCCACGTCAGGAATCCACATCAATGTAGCGTTGTAGTAGGCTACATTGGATAAAGACGCACCGCCTTTTATTGGATTTTAGGGCTTCTTTTATTTTATATGAACATTGTAATTAAAATGTTGCAGATTTTTTTAATGAAGAAAAACAAAAAAACAAACTAACAAAATATTTCTTACAAAGCAATTAACGTAAACCAGGCCCTGATTAGTGATTAGGAACACCTGAGGGAGAGGCTGCACCTGGAGGGAGACAATCAGGGGGAGAGGGAGGGAACACAAACACAACACGGCACGAAACATACAGTTAAACTGATTTCGTTTTTACTGAAAAGTCTCGATGTTTTACACAAGCCTTCCATGGTATTAGATGGATATGGAAGTTATTAAAAAAAACACAATTCACCACGGTGTGTAAAACGTGCATAACAGATTTGCTGTTCTCTATGCGTGTTGACGTCACCACTACGACCCCGCCCCCGATGCTGAGCCCTCCTTGCATCAGCATCATTTCTGAGAGAGAGAGGGGGAGAGAGAGTGAGAGAGTGAGAGTGAGAGAGGGAGAGAGAGACTACCCAACCCAAGCAGAGCATACTGAGGCGTCAGACGGCCGCCTGAGCATTCCGGTTACGCACCGTTCAGAGGGCCCATCGACGGTTCGCAGCGCCACAAGCAGCTGAAGAAGAAGTCACCATACCTGGGCACACGGCCACGTTTACAGTCAGTAATGGAGAGCCTGCTGGATAATCCCATGAAAGCCGTTCTTTACCTGAAGGAGCTCACCACTATCGTGCAGAACCAGCAGAGCCTGATCCAGACGCAGCGCCAACGCATCGACGAACTCGAGCGAAAGGTGGAGGACCTGATAGGAGAGAACCGAAATTTGAGGGACCCCCACCACTACGTCCAGCAGCCCCCTCAACATCACCACCATCACCACCACCCGACTCACCGCAGCGCCAGTCCCCAGGCACCGGCCAACCTCCATCTGCACCCGGTGAGCAACAAGGCTGCGGCTCAACTCGGCCAGCAGGCGCAGCAGCCGCCGCCGCAGCTGCAGCATCAGCAGCAGCAGCATCAGCAGCAGCAGCAGCAGCAGCAGCAGCAGCAGATCCCCGGTCTGTCGGCCCAGCCTCAGCAGCATCCCATCTCTCCCGCACCAACCGCCCACCACCCCCAACAGCTCCAGCTCGTCCCCACCTCACCACAGTCGCCCAAAACGAGCCAAGCCAGCCCGGACTCCGTGGAGGAGGACAAGAGGAGCCCCTGCTGCAAGTCCCTGGTTCCGCAGACTCCCACCACTCTCTGCCGCTCCGTCGGGCTGGCGAGGAAAACGGAGTAAGTAGCTTACATGCTGTGTGCACTACAAAACCAATGTTAACGAAACATTTACTGTGAATTCTGACCGATTTTTCGTGATAAAATAGACATAACTATTCACATAAAAGATGCAAATCCCTTTTAACTTGTTGGATTTTCGTCTCCACAACAAAGATGCCCTTTAGCAATTGTTATTTAGGCTTCTCCTGACTCACAAAATACATAAATTATTTCATATTTTATTCAGTGACCCTAATAATATGGATACTTTTCTTGTCTAAATATAGCAAATGTGCTTGGAATAACACTGTAGTACCCTGAAGGTCCATGAGATCAAACACCACAGCCTGTTATTTCCCATGTGAGGGTGTCAGATGACATTTTGGAGACATTTTTCAACAGATGCAATACAGTTAAGATTGTAAAGAAGACGTGAAATAGTATCACTGCATGAGGCCTGTGCTGGATTTACCTTTGATTAACTCCACACCCCCTGAGGCTTAATTTCCTGACAGGTAATTCAAGCTACTCCTGTGTTTTCACGTTTATTCACTTGTTCAGTTGTTGCAAATCAATGGAACGCCTAATGGTTATTGATTTTAAGACCAAGGCTGGCATTTTAAAAGTTTTGGTTTGTTAATTCTGCACCAAGGTAGATTGTCACTACTGGGTGGGACTCCATGTTGGCATTAGAGTATTTTTGATGATTTGTAATGAAACAGGACTTTATTTAAACCATGCCCTCAGCAGGTCATCCTTACTTTGCCCTTTGGATTAGTCGTTTGTTCCGGTGAGGTTGCTGTGCCCACTTGTGTTTGCACACCTTGAATGTGTTATAAGCTATTTAAAAATGCATCTGTTTGAGGCTTGCTGAGGTATCGTTTTCACAGGTGCAAGGGAGCGTGGTGGCATTATAAACACACACTTTATAGTTAGTGAGTTTTATTTTGCATGAAGGCATATCATTGACCTTGAGGCATATGATTGCACGTTCACACATAAAAAAACTACCATCTACTTTTGATTGTGCAGACTCTAGTGTTTTCCTTATTAATAAGGCACACACTAAAGGATGTAACACTGCAGGAACACAGATGGAGTAATAACAACAAAGACAGAAAGATATGAGCTGTTGATATTTACAACCTTACAGCCTCGTGAGAGTGACTAATAAGCCTTGATCTGTTTGATGAAGGTATGTTTCAAGTCAGTGTCAGATTCCTGGTTTCAAACACGGTTGGTGGCATCAAGATTCTGTTATTTAGTCTCTTTTTTCCCCGTTTTGGAGCATATCTTTTCGTAATTAAGCTACCTTACATTCACTATAGTTCCAGCTTCCTAAGCATCAGGGTTTGTTACTTTTCCGGATCATTTTTTAGTTTGTGGCTGTTGGTCGAATGAGCTGAATGGTTTTTGGTAGCCACTATCAAGGTCACATGCCTGCCTGTGCCAGAGCTACACACACATGCACACAAAACACACCGCGCTGAGCCCCATCTGTCCCACTAGGCTGCATTTGCATTGTTTCTGTTAATCCAGATTGATTCATCGTGCCATTAAGACATAATTCCTAAAAAACATGGGTCAGGAATATAAAACATTAGCATGGAAGTAATAAAACAGAACTGCTTTTAGGTGGATTGACCCAGCCAGACATGGACAAACACACACTAGATATGAGATGTACCAATTAAATGTCAGCAGGGGTGTAATCGGGTACTATTTCAAACTCAGGCATATTTGGAAAAACTATGCCAACCTGATTTATCACAAAAACGAGTTCCTCAATGACTCATGAGGTCTTACTCTTACCTGCTCTGTAGCAGAACCACGACTGACTCAGCTTCTTATTCTTCTTTTCATGGTTTTATGGCGGGTGGCCATCTACTGTATTGGAGTTGACCAGGGCAGCCCCTTTTAAACATGTAGCCCCTCCCAGCAGGCTTCACTCACAAGGAAATCAAATGTAACCCAAATCCACAGCTTCTAAACCCCAATACATACCCAATAAGTGTTATATTTATGTAAAAGCTTTACTTAAAGTTATGTTTTTTAGGCATAACGGTTTAACAAAACAACAATTATGCATCTCACGTGATGATGAAATAACACCAGAACACATTATTTGAATGGGAGAAATTATGCGCGTCTAGGGGTCTACTGCACACTTCCAAACATTTAAGTAAATATTATTTGTGTGCAAATGTTTTTCTAAAATAGTAACAAATAGTAGGTACTAATGGTTGTGCTACGGAAACTGATCCATCACCGGGGGATTCCATACGTGGGTTCCTTAGTGATTCGGCAACCATGCCCCCTGAAAGTCCTGCAGATTGATTAACATTGACAGAAATATGAAAAAAAACTCAAAGAAGGGAGAGTACTGTAAACTTTTATTTTGCTTAATGGGAATACAGTGACACATGAAAAGCAGGAGACGTGAAGCGACATTGTAATTTCCATTTAGAACATTGATCCTGGTCACACAAGATGGTGTATCTGTGCTGTCAGTGCCGCAGGAGGAATAATACATTTCAATTAACGGGAGGATGACAGGGACACATCACAGACGTACTAATAAGGGCTGTGTGTGTATTTGTTTATATATTTATCACTGATTTGACTGTTTCTAAAAAGCTGGTGTCTGCAATCCACATTGAAATATGACAGTGAAACAGAAATGTGTCTCTTTTACAATTTTATTTTCGTACTGTTATAACAAATCAGTACATACGTTTTGTAAACAGTGCACAAAGTCCGGCTAGTTATTACCCTGTTCCCTGTCTTTGTGCTAAGATAAGTTAGCATAGCGGCTAGCAGTACTTTCATATTTAGATTACACACATGCAAGTGGTATCGAGCTTCTCATCTAACTTTCAGCAAGCAAAATTACAATGAGGCTTAGGACGATAATATTGATAGATTATTTTGGGTAAATAGTGACAAAAGGAGATAAGGCAAACAGCAAGTATCTCGGAATACTAGGATGGACTGCATATCCAACATTACCGTTCACCATTCCAACAGCTTATGTGTGTTTTTGCTTGATTGAAATGAAGCAACAAATCCATTTGCAAAGCTTTAAATTACAAATGAAATGCCTGCTCACTCACATCATTCATTCCTCATCTCATCAAGTTGCATGGAAATGCACCTTAAGCTTCGAACAGCAAACGTGGCTGTAAAGTTGATTCCATGTATTTTGCTCCTGATGTTTTGCAAGTGTGTTTCCCAGTCTGAGAAAGATTCTTAAGGGGCTTGTATGATCTGAGGGAAGCCTTAAGTAATCCTGTGTACTCGTCTCGCTTCCTCCTCTCCCTGTCAACTCCCGCTCATACTCTCTCATACTCAATCTTTCGTGTTTTTTAAATTATACAGATGTCCACCTATCGTATTGATCCTAGCCTACTTGACTGTCCTCATCTCTTTTCACCTTTATCTAAAACTGAAACGTTGACATTTGCTGGCTTTCAGTCCACCTAATCTTTGGTCCTATGTCTACACTTGGAGGTTGCCAAGTGTGTGTGTGTGTGTTACATTTTGAGAATGTGAAGTTTGGAGTCAGGAAGACTGATAATAAGGGTAGTCTTAGTGATGTTTCTTTTATTTGTGTAGAGGCATGTGCGTGTCTGATAGGCAGAAATCCCTTTTCTGAAGGTGGATATCCCAGGGTTCTCGTATAGCTCCAGGTGCTTCTTCCCTGCCTCCCACACTCTCACAGATATTTTAAGCTCTTGCTCTTACACACAAAACACTCACTAATGCACACAAACCCGAACATGCCTCATGCCACCTGGCAGCCCGCATGTTTTTCCGCATTGGCCGTGACTCCCAATGCGCCCGCCATGCCCTCGTTTTCCTCTTACTGGCCTCGTACCAGCTGGAGCTCAATATGTATGCCATCTCACATGCTGGGGGAGGGGGGGGGGGGTTGAGCACACATACATCCTAGCATACATTACAGAGTGACCCTGCTGAGTGCCGGCTGGATGCTGCAGTGTCTCCTTGTTCTGATGCTCTCAGATCAATGAGCCTGCAGCTTAGCCAGCGCAGCCTCCAGCAGCTATGCTAACCCTTAAGAGCAACTCTGGCCTTGATCTTCAGGTACTGATCCTTATCTTAAAGCCACGCTATCTTTTATCTCAAGTAACAAGGCCTTTCTACTAAATATTAGCCACACTCTGTAGGAGCAATGTGTTTTGTTACACATTAACCTCTGTCCAAATATGTTAGACTTTAAAAACCTTCCAGTTGTGTGGCTAGCTGGTCCACACTGGGCTCGTCTTTAACCAAAACTAACAGACAATTTTTCAATATAGAAATATACAAGAGAACAGCTGTTGTAAGTGGATATATGGGATGCTTTTCTGTCTTTTCATTAAAGTAGTTGCTGTATGGTAATTAAGAATTGAACTTGCTTATGCTTTACCTTACTTGACACCTCTGATGGGCTAAGGTAATGGTTTGGTAGAATCCAGTGAACATATCACCATATCTAATAAATACAAATGTTCTACTCATTATCTTTGCAAACGGTGGAAATGTACTATAACCCAAATGTGGAAACCAATGGAAACACAATCTTTTTTAAAGCTCATACTCATCATCAACCGAAAGTAACAGACATTTTTTCAAATACAGTCGGCCTGCTGTTGCCGGGCAGGTCGTTTAGAGTGGATTTCATAAGAAGGTTTTAGCTGAAAACAGCTGTCGGCTGCTGGAAACTGAATTAATGAGGGTACAAAACAAAACAATAACACTGTGAAACTGCAAAGCAAAACGCAGTGAGAAAAATACACATTATTTGTGATTTTGGTTACCTTTTCATTTTAACAATGTCCTTTATCTAGAGCCTCGTAGAAAAGTACAATCTCTGCCTCGATAGATAGATGGCTGGATGATGGATGTAATGACTTCAAATGGACATATTAGTTCTCCCTGTCCTCTTCTTTATTTCGCCTCCTGCCACCATTTCTAGAGAGCTGGAATCTCCTCTCTCGCCCCCCCCCCCCCTGCTC